CCAACAAGCCGTTTAGGACAGAGAGTGAATACACATACTATACAGAGATGCTGTATGAGAAACCAATGTGATTTTGGAAAATTGCACAATATAAATCTATTCTAGTAGACCTCAACAATGGAATTATGATCAGTAGAAATGGCCATGACATGGGACCTTTAAAAGTTGCTTCTAGAAAAGTTGCCAGAAGTTGTAAGATCTTACTGTCTTTAAGAGACTTTTATTTTGAAGGGCGACTTGGTTGTTCAGTGGTGTAAGGTTGAAATCAGGCGTTATAAATAACAGGTAGAATTTTCAACATTTTAGTTGAGCATTTTAACATGCATTTTTATCAAGAACAAAACACACTGTATAGCTGAGGCTGATGAAATGCCATTTTTTCGGAGTGATTTGTTCATAAAACCAAATAGTTGGACGCATTTAAGTTTAACCTAATGGTGTTTCTAGAAAGGTTAGGAGATCACCAAAGTTATTTCAATAAGTCATGAAGATAGAGAACAAATCACAATGCAATTTAAGAATAACACAAACAGTAAACAGAAGTTGTTCAGGCCTCTAGTGGGGGCTTTAATGGGAACAGCCCGACTTGAGTAACTTGAGTCCTGGTGCTCCAAGTGCTGATTGTATTTATAAATAAGCCAATCTACAATAATTAACTTATAATTTGCATTGCATTGACTCAACATTCACTGTCTTTAACATTTTACTGTATTGTTGCCCACCTCGTATTTAAGACCTCTGACCTAAAGCAATACAATGTCATTAAAAACATAATTTTAGTTTAAATGCTATATACACTTATATTTAAGTTGTACAGAGTTAAATGTTAATCCAAATGCCACATACAGTATACTCTACGTAAGCAATTTTACAATTCACCTGGTATGTACAGAAGTTTAAGTATTTTTTCTTGTGATATTTTGTGTAGGCTGGTGTTTTCAAATGATCCATTTATTCCAATACCTTGTTGGCCCCCCCCCCCCGCCCCTCTCTCTCCTGCTCATCATGTAATAACCTCTATCTGTGGAGGATGAGTTTTGCAGCTCAGGTTTGACCCAGATGTGACAGACGTTCTGTGTCGGAGCGTTACTGTGCATTCCTGCTCCGTTTCAAGGTGAGATCACTCAGACTAAACCAGGATGCGTTGTTGGAAGCTTATGTAACTCTTTCCTGAGTTCACATGGTGATAATGAAAGAAACAAAGTGACAGGTGAACAGCTCAGCTTGGCTTCTTGTTGAATCAAAGATGAGTTAAGGTCATACAGTCCCAGGAGAAAGTGAGGAATACAAAAAAAGAGAAATGTTTGTAATAATATTCATATACTTAATTAGTCACAGACAATATAACTCAAGGCATGACAACATGTTTGAAGTTATTCCAAAACGTTTGCTAATCTTTAATTCAGTATATCATTGTTGAGATGTCATATTGAAGCTTCATCTCACCATCACTGTATAAAACAGGTCAACACAACACAACTAATCAATATAAAGTTAACTAAATAAAGTATTTAATAATCAAAGTGCCCTCTCAATGACCAGTAGGGAACATATTAAGTGGCTTGACCAAACTAAATAAGTGCTCACTAAGATGGACACAGAGTACAATGCAAATGACCTAAATCCCCCCCCATGACATGCATTGGCCCAATTTGCTGCTTCCAGGCTTTACGAGTTCTCAGGCCATGGCCACACCTGTTGCTCAACCAGGAAGTAACCGCCCCAAACAATAAGGTAACTAAAAAACTTAGAACAAATAATTAAGACAGTAAATGGGGTTTGCTGCTCTAAGTGCTCGATAACTTCCAGAAGTTAATGTTGGTTTCTTTTAACTGTGAACATGTGTTGAATCCAAGTAGTTTTAGTTGCATACACTTTAAAACAGTGCTGCTCTACTTCATCTCAGGTCTTCTATTAACAATGATTTCAGTGATGTTTGCATGTTGTCCATTAACTTTGTTGTATGTCTAACTTTTGTATTACTTTACAAAAGGACATTTTAGATTGATCTCCTTTCAGACAGCTAATGGTTTCAATCGTTCGTCAAATACCGACTTTTGTCAAGTGCCTTGGTGTCTGATGCCAACTCACAAGGCACTCTTTAGCATTTAAATGAGTCGCATCGGGATTTTAACTCAAACTCAAACAATTGTCAACTATATTGTAAGCTCAGAGGTGTCGATGAATGGTTGGATTGGACCACAGGACTTTCACTCAGAGAAATGCAGCTTGTGTTCCTTGTAAAGTTGACTTACATTTGGAGGGTTGACTTATATTAATTTACGAACGCAAGTTACCTATATAATAATAAGAATACATTACATTTATAAAGCGCTTTTCCTGGTGCTCAAAGCGCTTACAAGCAAGTAAAACAAAAATAACAACAAAAGTAGAAAGTGCTAAGCTAGGTGGAATAAGGGCAAGGGGTTAGTTGATTAGGAGTTGAAGGCAAGAGTGAAAAGGTGAGTTTTGAGGGATTGTTTGAATGATGTGAGAGTGTTGGCGGATCTGACGTGGCTGGGGAGGGTATATATATATATAGTGTTTTAAAGTTGCGCACGTAACAAACATACTTATTTTAAGCCCAAACCTTCATTTATTCCTAAAAATAATCAAGCTGTTCTGTTGCATGTACTCGAGTGAGACCAAAGCGTCATGACCAATAATCTGTACCTGACTAGTTTTTGATTTCAAGTTTTTTTTTTATTGTTTTCTAACAACCTTCAGAATGAGGAACAACCAAAACAAACCATTTATTTTCACAGAATCCATGTGTTTATTTTCTTGTTTTGACATGACAACCTACTATAGTTTTTTTTGTTTGGTTGGTTTGTGACTCACACTGACAATTTTGACAATATTCCCTCAGTTTATATCTTTTGTCGTTGGAAACAATGTGTGGTGTGATGGGTTTCTTGTGGGAAATAAAAGGCTTGGGCTGGCAAGACTGTCAAAAAAGTGTTGTTGGACATTTTGACAAGACAGGGCCACAGTATACGCTACACAAGACCTGCTTTAGTTTACATTGTACATTATGCATTTCAAATGAATCTAATTGACTGAATAAACAAACAAATGATTGAGATAAATAAATCTTAGTCTTTTGGGGACTGTAACTGGTAAAAAATAAACACATTACAGAGTCGTGGTGTGTTTACTGTCCTACATGTCTGACGATATCAACGCTTTTAACATGGACCGTTGATAAAATACTCTGTGTCCTTGGGCAAGACACTTCACCTGAATTTGCTCCTGTGGGTATTGTCCACAGTACATGACCATTACATGTATGTCTGATATGTATGTGTAATGTGTATCTGTAAAGCGCTTTGAGTCATTGAAAAGCGCTATAATAAATATAAGGAATTATTATTATTATTATTATTATAAAATACTCTGGTGTAAAGTAACTAAGTACATTTAATCAAGTACTTTACTTAAGACACATTTTGAGGGACTTGTACTTGACTTGAGTATTTCCATTTGATGCTACTTTGTACTTCTACTTTACTACAATTCAGAGGTAAATGGTGTACTTTTACTCCATTGTATTTAATACCTTTAGTTACTCTACAGATCTGGATTAATGATGTGAAATATAATCAAGTGTTAAATCAGTCTTTCGTTGCACCTGGAGTAAATTCACAAGCTACCCTGCAGTATACAAAGTCATTCAAACTAGCTGCACCTTTACCAGACTATTAAACACCTGAACTTTTGAAACAACATCCATAACATTCATCTGGCTGCAACTTACAAATTATTTATCTAATATATCATATTCCAATAACTTATATATAGATTCTTATTGCACTATTTCACTATTCTACAATTTTTTTTTGTATTTACTTGCACTATTTTTTACTGTTTTTCAGTTTTATTGTGTTTTTTGTTGGTGGAGCCTGTGACCTAAAATGTTCATCGACATAACTATACTGTAGCTATGTACGTATGACCAATAAAAGCCTTGAATCAATAATTATAAAACATATCTCATTCTGAAATGGACCAATCTGCACAATGACTACTTTTACTTTTGGTACTTTAAGTTGTATTGACGCTAATACTTTTGTACTTTTGTACTTTTATTTGAGTAACATTTTGAATGCAGGACTTTTACTTGTAACAGAATATTCCTACACTCTGGTACTTCTACTTTACTCAAACATCTGAGTAGGCCTACTCCACCTCAGATCAGGAACAGATTTAAACATGCTTGCACTTGTGTGTTTTTAACAACAACGAGTGGGTCTGTGCTGTTCTTTATGGGCTGTTACACGGCTTTTAGTTAGTTTGAGAGGGAGAGGCATGAAGGGCCAGCAGGCAGGACCACTTTACACGGCAACAAATACGCCTTTATGTCGTCCCTGCACCTGTGTGTGTTCTCTCACAGAAACCTGCTCATACTGGGTGTAATTTGCAGAAATAGGCCAGTCATTTCATACCTGCAGGCAGAGGGAGGGGGGGGGGGGAAAGCAAAGTATTTCCAGAGGTGGGTTTTGGTGCTGTTGTGGTTTAAGTGGTGACCCATAGGGGAGGGGGGGGGGGGGGGGGGGGGGGGGGGGGGTACCATGCAGGTTGAGCACTTGTTTAGTGCACTTGTTGGTCTAACCAATACAAAAGCAATAGCTGAAATGCATAGAGAGAGAGAGAGATGCATCGATACATGAAACATAGGAAAAAAGGCATGAAAAATCAATCGTAAATATGAAATGAACACATTCAAAAAAGGTTGTATTTAATGTATTTTTAAGCCTAATAAGGATTCTCTGCATTCCAGAGGGGAAACAGAATCACCTTTCCCTGCCCCAATTAACCCGATCCAAATGAAAGCAGCCAATCACCGCACCAATCATCCAATCAATCCAACCAACAATTTTTCCTTAAAATCTATTTCATTTTTCTACAGCTTTCCGTGTGTTTGCTGTGTGAGCGGCGGTGCTGGGTGAGAGTATCAGCTAGGTGGCCGCACGAACACATTTATTACGCCGAGGCTGTGCCAGACGCACATGGGATCCGTGCTGCGTACCGGGCATCTTCAGCAACCCGCAGCCGAGCGGAGGGGACCTGAGCCCGGCGTGGAGCAGCACTCAACCTGCCTGGACTCTTCCTCTGACCCCACACTGGAGAACATCTCCGAATTTCCGAGGTGATCTTTCCTCTCGGCGTGTTATTTATTTATATCCGGACCCTGACAGTCATCCGCGGCGGACGAACTGCGTCTTAACGCGGAGAGGTCGGACTTGTTTGGCTGGGGAACACACACCAAAACACACGCGGAAACACTCCGGTCCTGTCGCCTCTCTTTCTTTTTTATTTCCTGCTAGCTTTTTTCTCGACATTTCTATCGAACCAGGAGCTCGGAGGATGAACTAGAATCGCGATCGCTTGTGTTTCACTGGATTTATTTCGCTGTGGAGGAAAAAAGAGATCCCGGAGAGGAGCGGTGCGCAAAAAGCCGAGGTGTTCCTCTTCTCTCCTCTCCCTCTTTATCTCCATCTATCAATCTGTCTACCTGTCCTCTCCTGTCCATCTGTCTCTTCATTTGTTTCCCCTGTTTGTAGGTCCGTGAGATTTTGCTAAAATGCATCATCAACAGCGGATGGCAGCTTTGGGAACGGACAAGGAACTGAGCGACTTATTGGATTTCAGCGCGGTAAGGACATGTTTTTACTTCTTGTTGATATGAATATAACGAGTAGTATCGTGGCAGTACAAGCCGTAGAAGAGCATTAAACGGGTCCTTACAGCGACCACTGTTTACACTGTTAATATTGCACAGTAACCTGCATATTTATAGCCCTTTAACTAAACATGTAAAGAGTAAAGTTGCAGAAAAGTCAGTGCATATTGTTGTTTTTGTAATTGTTTCATTTTTGTTTCTGTGTGTGTGTGCAGAGATTTTTGATGCTGCATTGGTAATTTTGTTGTCTTATAGATGCGAAACAGCGATTTGAAAATGTTCCCAACATCCATGGTAATATATCTCATTTAAGTCCTTTTTTTCATTCATATGTCCACTGCTTTTTCTGCCCATGATTTAGAAAAATGTTTGTATTTAAATCTGTTTGTGGGCTGCTCCATATACGCACCGGGAAGCTTAAGGCTCGACCATGAACCTGCAGGACAGAAAAGAGAGGAGAGTGTCACACTTTCTCTACGCAGTTTTAATGTGCAACTGCTTTTAAAAGTTTGTGTCTTTAAAAAAAAGAAAAAGAGGGTAAAGGACAGTGTGTGTTGCGAACTTGACGGCAGGAAACAGTGTCCGGCTCTCGGCCATGTTTTCTGCGCGCCTCTCCTCTGGGAGCAACTTTGGCCCGAAGAGGAGGAGGGGAAAAAATGTAAAACATCCCAAAATGAGAAAAAAAAACCCAGGCTGACATTAATATTGTTATTGAAAGAAAATATCACCACTACAGGAGTGATGCTGAATGAGAAATAGCAAATATAGGATACAAAATCACCACATTTTGCTGCATTATTTTCATTCATAATGCAATAAATGCATAAGATCACAGCTGAGGCCTGCATACACAATGTAAGTGACTGGAGGGATCTAGGAGTATCATTGTGGACACTGTTAACAATAAAAGGTCTTGATATAAGAGGAATCAGACTAGTGATGCTGCTCAAAATGCACATACATATGAAGTAAAATACACATTTATGTAGCTTTCAATCGATACCGAATGGTAATGTGATAAACAGATTTGATACGATCACAGCTGAGGCCTTCAGACACTGTACTGTAACCGACCCTGAGAAGCATTGTAGAAATAAATCAAAGGAGATATGAATTAAAAAGTTATTAAAACAACAAAACCTACACAATTACTTCCTATAGCTTTACTATATTGATTTTGAATCAACCACTTCAGGTCATACAGTATTGATCAATTTAACATAAAACTTGATATTTCTCATTATGATAAGAATATTGTATGATTGTTTTATAATATATTTTTTAATTGTCATGTAAAAATGTATAACCACAGGCATTTCATATTACTCTATAGCAATATTTGTATTATAATATGTGCTGTATTGGCTTTGTAGGCCTGTATATATCATAAACACATTGTTTGATTACCCATAGAAATTAAAAAGCACAATTGTTTTAAACAAAATCACTATTAACATCATTTAGTAGTACTCGCATTATCTCCAGTAATTTAATACATAATTGAGAAGCAAAGAGACATATTAAATCTATATAGGAATATTGTAAATCTATTGATAGACTGGCAGCACACAATAAATAATGTACAATGCTCTTTATTAATATTACAGGTAACACAAATATCACTAAATCACCATAAATCTTATTATGAGTGGAAGATTTATGCTCCAAAGTCTCTCAAGGAATATTATATGATTATAATTATGAACAAAAGTTCAAAACAAAACCTCACAATATCATAATTTAGCAGCTGTTTGACACGAATATTAGACATTTAACCTGTGTTTGAATTTGAACAGATTTCCAAAAAATGTCAATCAGCCTGTCGTCAATTAAATGTCTTGAGAAAATATTCAAACAAAGGAGGGCAGCAGCAGCTAGAACGTGTCTCCTCTCATTATAAACGCAGGCCGGTCGCATTAATTTATGCGATCATCTGTCTCTGCACGCCCACAAGCTGACACCCGCAGCTCAGAGTGCTTCGGCTGGGATATCGATAGACCTGCTAATAATCCCAACTCCATCTTTTATCTCCCGAGCATTTTTTTTCTCATTACCGCCGCGAGCGAGCAACCCCAGTATCCAACGTACACATTACAGGCCCTGCAGGCTGCATTAGGAACAATGACAGATCCAGCGTTTATTGTTGCAGTCAGGGTTTTAATTACCTATATTGTGTTTATTTCAAAAGACAAGAACAAATCCCTTCAATCCTGAAAAGGTTTTTTAGCATCTGAAAGTGGGAGATCACTGAGATTTCACCATCAAACACGGCGACACATAGGCCTGGTGTTTTTCTCCACAGAGGTTATCTAGCAGGGTCACATGTCTCACTTTGAACGGTTTTTCCTGGGTTGCTGTACAGTAGCTCGTACTTTAGAACAACAGGAATCAGTATGCAGTGTCCGTGTCAACGTGGGCTTATTTTCCTGTAGATGTGTAGAACAGATGGTAACTAGTACTGATGATGATCTCATATGTTTGAGTCAGATATGAAGCAGATATGAAGGGTTTCATTTCAACCATCAGCCGTCCAACATTTGGCGAACGTTTGAATGACAAAACATGTAGAGTAAAATTGAGCAGGTGATTTAAAAGTGAGCCTGTTTTTATTTTTCACAGATGTTGAATGAGCAATTATACATATTATTCTGCTCCCCAAACATTTTTCCCACAGTATTTTGGACAAATAACTCTTCATATCTGTGTTCAACTCTGAGCTGAGTGATCATTAGGGCTGGGTGTGCTTTTTGAGTACAGACAAAAACGTGTTTATAGTGAATGAAAACAGTCTAGTATGGAAAGCTGGCCTCAAGAGGTGCGGGCTCGAGTCAGGAGTCCGAATCAAGTCGTGAACCTTACTTAAGTCTTAATTGAAAATACAATAAAACACCTTGCAACTCAACCTTTACTGTCCCCCAATGACTACTGTTTGGCTAAATATTCTTATCGAGCAAAATATGAAACGTATTTATCTGAAATAAGTCAATCTTCATTTTTGGATACATTTCAAATCAACCTGACAGCAGACGATACATCTTCGTAAAGAAAGCTAAAGTCAATACAAGAAAAACCACAACTTATATATTTGGCTTAGAATTGACAAACCATTGTAACTGTTTCACATCAATAACTCACAATGTTTGATTAATCAGTGAAATATTACATTTGGTGATGTTTTAAAAACAGTCGTTGGATTATATCTGTAGATGTCCCAAACTGACTGTTGCTTTTTTAAACATTTATATAGGATAAGATGGGTCAAATGGCACAAACTGACATGTTTAGGAAAGACAAATGAAAAGGAGTTGGACCTGGTTATGAACTTGTTGTCAGGTCTTGACTCTTTTACCTGGATATCTTTTATTGTGTGGAACCTTTCTCTGGATTCACCTGTACTGGGACCTGTCTCCTCACAGGAAATGGGATTGACCCGTTTTTCACATGTTACAAAGGGGTCTTGCCTCTCTTGACTCTGGACTTGTTAGTCTTGAATTAGGACTTTTTGACATAGGACTTGATGCGTTATGTTTCCGTCTTGACCTGGGACTTGACGTTGGTTTCTTGACGTTGATTTACACCTTAAGTCTGGACTTGTTTGCCTTGATATGGGGTTTGATTTAGACCTTGTTGGACTTTTCTTAGGACTTTACTCTGGACTTAACACTGGACTTGTTGGTGTTGATCTGGGATATAAATCAGGGCCTTACTGTTCTTGATTTGTGACTTGACTTGGGACTTGTTGATCAAGAGTTGGGACTTACCTGCGACTTACAAAAAAGTGACTCTGTCCCAACTATGCAGGCAATACATCTTTTAGTTATTTTTTGATCCCCATATATCAATAAAACATGTGCCAGCTATAGACTACAGTATTCACACAATAATCTAGTGCTTAAAAAAAATCACAAGTTGAAGAATGTTGCTATTTTTTAAATGGAAAGTGTTTCAAATGATATTAATATATAGGGAATAAAAACCATTTGGTATGAGTACCAAAACTTAATATCTAACTAGTGTTAGTGTTGACACCCAGCCCTAGTGATACTTGGCCTTTTGTGTTCTTGGTAAATATCCATGAAGAGTTTCTTTCCAAAACGAGATTGGGCTATCTGGGTTAAAAAGAGACATATAAATGTCTTATATTTAAGACATTTCCTTGGATTTTAATGTGACGAGCAGCATCTTTCAGCCAAACGTTGCCCTGTGTTTTGGAATGAAGCTTTTCATGGCTCTATGATAATGTGTAGAGATGTTTCTTGCTGTCTGCGGTGTCAGTGCTCTCGGAGATAATGTGCGCTCTGTTTGTCTTGTAGATGTTTTCCCCTCCTGTTGGCAGTGGAAAGAACGGACCGCCGTCCCTGGGGAGCGGACATTTCTCCGGCTCAAGTACGTCAGCTTTTTCTTTATCCCTCTTTCAACCCTCCCTCAGCCTCCTCCCGTCCTTCCTCTTACACCTGCTCTCTGATGCTTCGCTTGCTGTTTAAATGTTCTTCTGAGGGTAACCATGTTCTGCACATGCAGATGCAGATTTGGGGTTTTTTGCTTTGAGGAGTACTTTTTATTTTTAGGAGACATTTTGTTTAATATACTGTATGCTCAGGTTTTCTTTGAATACTCTGTTCTTGGTGAGCTGGTGATTTTCTCTACTAAAGTTTTAGTCAAAATGTTACGTCACTCAAACAATGAGTTGGCCTGATCTGATTAAATAGCTTGATTATTGGAAAGCCCATCACTTAATACTTACCTGTCCGTGGCACCCAATCCCAAAACCAATTGATTCCCAATGAAGATGTAAATCTCTAAAGACAGAATACAAATTGATGGTTTTATTTCAAACAAGTGTCAGTACTTTCCTAAAACAGCAATCGCTGCTCAACTTAATTCTGTTGAAATCCCTTGGAATATACCTGCGTGACGTGTACTTTTTCTACTAGTTTGTACGTGTTGGTTCCTGCTTCATGACACAGTAACTGATGTAATGTTGGCGTTAACAATACAGCGATAAGACGATGATGTCATGTTTATTGACTTTTGGGCAACAATTATGTTATCAGCTTCTAAAAATCAACCCTGAAGGAGACTTCCTGTTTTTCAAAGTTTGCTGCCCTGATTATTTCCTGCCCATGAGTGTGTGATGTGTGTGTGTGTGTGGGTGTGTGTGTGTGTGTGTGTTGTACATCAGCTTACTGTGTTTTTCTACACGGTGGTGTTGTTGGGGTCAAAAAGTCAGTTTGGTGAACGATGGATGAACATGATGGCTTTCTATTTGAAATGCCAGTTAGATAAAACTAATATTGGGGGAGGGAGTTGCTAAAGTTGCTTCATGCTAGTCAGCCATTCTTTTACTAAAACACCAAGGCCTTATATTTAATTCATTAATTCATCCAGTCAGGCTGTAACTAATCAGTGTGTCAGAGCCTGAACACAGCCTAAATGACTGGCTGGCTTTATCAATCAAACGTTAGCCCTGTGTTGAATCACAGATCCATTTGAATGAGGCCAGTTTGAAAATGCTAACGGAGCTTCAGCAAAAAACTGCATCTCGGTTCAGCGTCAGAAAGACTGAATGAGACATCGAGCGGCAAGGTTGTGTTTCAGCTAAAAAAGTGCAAGAGTTGGGTTTATTAACGGTTTTCCTGGTTCCATTTTTCGCTAACTGACTTAAACAGCATTTGTCATTATGATGCGTTCTGGCAAGTAAAAGTAGCCTCCCCAACCTGACAAATGCGTCACTCTGCTCAATCCATCCGGTGTTGCATCAGTTGTAGTATCAAAACGTATTAGTGTTGAGGCATTCTACCGACACTTTAGGACAGCAACAAGTGGGAGAAAACGGAACAGTAGAGGGGAGAGGTGGAAGATGAGTTCGTTGTGTTTGTTTACTTAAAAGTTATTTTGTGTTTTTTGGGTCTTAAAGAATACAAAAAAACACAAGAGGTGAGCCAAGAGCACATAGTCGACGTACATATTGGAGGAATTCTATATGATCATATGTGATTGTCAACTTCCTGCTTTTTCTCTGTGTCATGTGCAGTTCTATACTGTATATTACCTCCTTGCAGTGATTGTATATCAGGTTGTAGACCATGATGCATTTCCCTAATTATTATCAAGCATTGTGTTATACTGTCTTTATATCTCATGACATCATCAGTCTGTATGCAACCATCTGAAGCACTGAATGATTCTGTCTTAAAATAGTTTCCGGAAGCTCTTCCCATTATCAGCCGGGTCATTTCTGATTCTCCCGCTCGTGTCGTTTGCCTCTAAACGTCGTTGGGAAGCCATTTTGTTTGTTGGCTGTAAAACAGAGAGATGCCACAGACGTCTTCTTTGTTTACTGCTCCGTTGTGCTGTTGTTGTTGTTTGTTCTCTGCGACTTCGGTGCTGTTGTCTGCTCCCTTGCCGTGCATACAAATTGGAGGAAGGACGACAAATGCCCCGATGTCGAACACAAAAAAAAGGCCCAGTCTTTGTGGAACCAGTAGCGGTTGTTGGGCCTCAGTTTACGGATACGTATTTTGTGATTGTTGTTTTTTTTTGTGATCTTTAGATGCAGCAACTCACACTGGTGTCACATGCACTCATCCCTGTGCACAAATCACATTCTTGTTTCTCGCACACCCACATGCACAAGTTGCCACACACACACACACACACACACACGCTCACACACTCACAAACACTCTCCTCACCCCTGCTGTGGCTTTCTGCAGGCCTCGGCATTTTGATGAGCCCGGCGCTGTTTGTGAATGCAGCTAATTAGAACTCTATAGACCTACACAACCATGAGAGCAGCGGCTTCCAAAGGCAGGGGCGAGGAGAGAGGCTGGGACATGCCGACACTGAGCCGCGAACACACACACGCACACGCACACGCACACGCACACACACACGCACAGTCATGACTTTGGGTTAGAGGAGGTACAAAAAAACATATTCACTGCTGTTTAGTGATTTTTCTCTATCCTTTTTGTTCAATATCTTAATTTCCTGCATGGGATTCATTTATTGTAACATGTCTCATCAGTCAATACCAAATTATGTCGAATTTTCAAAACTTAAAACCAAGCAGCGTTGGTTCAATCCATAAACAGAGTTAGCATCTGCTCAGGGGCCACCATGGGACGAAAAGGGGAATAAACCATGTCCACTTTTTGGTCCAAATGGATTTGAGAAGGATTTATGACCTTAAGGGTTCAAAAAGTCTCTTGAATTGAGAAGCAACTCTGGAACACATGATGATGGGTGTTACATGCAGGTGATGCAATTCAAGAACTCACTCTTAAACTATAACTCTTCTTAAACTAAGGTTGTAAAGTTTCATCATGAGCTGCCACTTTAACTCCTTTAATTAATTAATGGGTGCGTCGAGGTGGCTACTCTTTTTTAAAAAAGGTTCCAAAAAATTGCTATTGACCAATCCTTCTAAGATGCAATCACACACATTTCCTTTCATTATCATGTTTTTAACATTATTTGCTACCTTTTTTTTAAACCATTCCTTTTTCTTTTGTATGAAGTTAAAGGTGGGGTAGGTAATTTTGGAGAAACCAGCTCGAGTGCGCTAGAATTTGAAAATACACAACCGGAGAAAATCTGCCACTTCCTTACAGAGCCCCTCCTCCAACACACACGAACGCGCACATGACCAATGAGGGCACGAGATAAGTTTGTGCACAGATGGAAGGCTGACAGGCAGGTAGGCCATCCAGTTATTTTAGCCGGGCCGGCTAAAATGATTGGTCGTGCTTTTTACAGTATTACGGCTTCCACAGATGAAATTTTTATGGAATTTTTGTCAAAGCACTTAAGATATTCGTTGCTATCGGGATGTTAAGAGCATTCCATGGAATATAACAAAAAGTGTATCTCGAGCCGGTTTCTCAAACGTACCTACCCCACCTTTAATGTCATATTTTGGACATTATAACGTCAGTTCGACCTGATATACAGTATTTTAATAGGTAGCTACATGAAGAGCTGCAGCCTCACCGTGGGACAGGATGTGACTCATGCATGTTTGTGCTTTTTCTTTTTGACCTGATTGGAAGACTTTTCGTTTAATTGGAGGAGTAAACATTCATTTCTGATTGCTACTTATTAGGCCATTCAATCCCCAAAGTTAGGCCTTAAGGCCCGGACACACCAAGCTGACACCAAAGAACTGACACAGACGGACCCCGACTGTTGCGTCGCCTCGCGTCTCTGCGTTTTGGCCATGTGTCGCACTGGAACACATCGCAAAGACTTCAGCCGACGGCCAAGAAGCACGTACGAACTGCGCATGCGTGAGTGGCAATAACTCTCCTTACCAGCAGGCGGCGGTAGTGTGTATTCGTCATTCAAAAGAGGCAACAACCGGAAGACAGACTGCGTGATACACCGAGAGAAGAAGAACAGACTGCGTGATATAAACAAACAACAAATAGCGTGTGCGTTCCATTTTCACTCTACAGCGAGAAGCTCATGGGGCTTTCCCGAACCTGTGTCGAGAGCTGGAGTTAAATGAAATCTCAGATTTGCCTTCTTAATAGTTTGTTTGGGTCCCTCACTTCCGTTTCGCTTCTCATGCACTGATTCGCTAAGCTGAACAGCCAATCAGAGTGATTTCTTTTGCCGACTGCCTTTGGCCGACCGCCCCCCGATTCAACATGTTGAGTCGGCGGCTTTTCGGCCGAAAAGGCGTCGGCCCGGCTGAAAAGACCCGACGGTGCGGGACACACCAATCTGAGTAGGGCGTGTCAACGCTCATCGTCGGCCTGACGCCCACCGATGCCGATAATCGGCCTGGTGTGTCCGTGCCTTTATTCTAATGAATCAGCCTCTCACCTCATTTTAAACAATATGATTGCAATTGATGGTCCTCCAAGTTTAGCAGTTACAGCTCAAGATGGAAAAAAGTGCATTTCCATTCACCAGTTTTTAGTGCATTTTAAATGAGTATATAACAACACTTGAGTTTTTGCTTAAGTAAGATTGAAAAGTCAACGTTTTGATTTACAAGATCAATATAGTGAGACATTTTTGAGCGTACTTGTATGATTCTTGAGTTTTGGTCCGGATGACAAAACAATACAGTTTTTAAGACTTTGAAACTGATCAAAAAGTAAGTATGTAGGTCTTCTACCCAGCCCTTCTCTACTACACAGAGATTTACATTTTATTAACAGCTCTTTTGCCACAACGCAGAAATGTTGATAACAGAAAAAAGGTAGATTTTTGCCAAACAAGGCTACAGAAGACGACATCAAATCAAAATTAGAACATAAAGGAGACACGAGGCTGGAGCATGAAACCGTGTGTAAAAATAACATGTCACTCAGAATAAAAGCCGGTTTTAGGATTTGCTTCATCTGATGCTTATGAGGATAGGTAGTGACATT